GGTAAGTGGAGTTATCTAATCGAAGAAATTGCTGTCTATTAAATTACGGCAGTACAGGACATATATAATTGGCAATGGCGCAGCAGGTGTTTCCAGTCTCCATTTGTTTTCGTGGAATTGGAGATCTGTACTAAACAGAGTGCCTGGGCGAACACTTGCCCGTTGGGTTGCACGCGGTGGAGTCAGCGCTATTTGCCACAAGAAGAGACCGCTCGGTGGGACCAGAGACCAAAAACTCAATTATTACGGAGAATGGATTCGCTGGATTCGGCATATGAAACTGTGGAAGATGCTCTGAATGACGAAAATGAGTGATAATTCGCCCAAGCAAAAAACAACTTACGGAATTTTCATATTCCCGGATGGCGTATCCCAGGTGGCAAGTGGGTTCAAGAAAAGGATTGACGATAGTTAACTGTGAGTGCCAGATGAAGGAATGGGAAGACCTCGAAATAAATGTTGCATCGAGGGTGGTCAAGATCCTTCAGAAAGTAAGCCAATCAAAAGAAGGGCTATATGAAGTATTAAAAAAGAAAAGGAGCCTCTCATGAAATCCGCGGAACCACGAAAGATCAGGGCCTGTAAGACCAGAATGTTATTGGTGGTTCGAGGTTGAAACTGTTTTTGTTAGGAAATGCTAGACGGACCCCATCTTATGCCGCCCGGCAGCGAGCAAGAGGCTTAATTAAAGCGAATATTACTCCAGACTAGTTCTGATGTACATTTTATGAAGGAAGGATCTAATGTCGATGATATTTCAGTTTTGGAGGGTAAATCCAGTCGTTCTGAGTGCTTTTGAGACAAGCAGGATTCAATTTGCACGAAAAAACGGAAACTCCTGAAAAACGATACCTCCAGATGTATTCTACTTTATCCCTAATAACTTGGGGACATTCGAGTTATGACCTAATGCTGATCGTCAGAAGCTGCCTAAATGAGCATATGCTCCATTAAGGGAAAGGCGTCATGTAGGACACCACTGGGCAAAGGCCTGAAAGTCTATCAGTATCAGTACCAGTATATTTTAGGGAAAGTAGGTGTGTACCTTTGAAATCCCTATTGGTTACATGCAGAGGACATATATGGAGGAAATGGAAAGGAAGTAACATGAAAGCAATGCGAGGGGAATAGCAAAAACTGTACAGATGAACACAGAATGTCATGCGTTAACAGAGTTTAGAGGCACATTAACTTGCTTTGTTGATCAAATACAGCGGACAGTTGAGGCACACTTAAGATACGGGAAAAGAAGTAAAATTGTTTAGTCTACAGGCATCGTGGTGAATGCTAACAGCGGTGTGCGACGTGGCCTAAGCTTAATAAATTACACAAACATATATTACTTAAATGTTGGTAGTAGCATCGTTATATCACTAAATTGACAGCATTGGTTGTCAAGGTGGCCGTAGTCCGGCGTTATTGTGGTGCGCGCTACAATGCTGATCTAGTCTCCATTGAAAAGTATCTACCGAGCCCGACATAACAACATCCTCAGGCAAGGCATTCAAAGCTGCAACCACTCTGTTGGAGAAGAAGAACTTTCGGCTGTCTTGCCGGGCACCAGCCACACGCAGTTTGAGTGGATGGCCTCTCGGGTGAGTCGTAGTCGCCAACTCGAAGAAGTCTCCAAACGCGAGGCAGCAGCCTTGATTGCGCACGATGCGGAAAGCTTGTATCAGGTCCCCACGTAGCTGTGTGCAACTCAAAGGAAAGAGGTCAAGATTAGCTAATCGTGTTTCGTAGGGTAGTGACCACGGCCCGATACAAGTTTCGTTGCTCGCCGTTGAACCTTTGCGAGTATGCCCAAGTCTTTAGCGGTCCAGGGTCGCCATGCTTGGATAGCAAACTCCAGATGCGGTCTCTCTTAAAAAATTGAAGCCCGTTGTCGTTATCTGACGGGTTGCATCGACAGGCAACTCCGAAGTCGTCTGTACGCAAAAAGTCTTGCCATTCTAGAAAAAATCTGATAATCATTGACGAGGGGCGAAATAGGAGTAGACTAAACAGGCTGCCCTGAAAAACCACTTCCTACGCATTTTGGTAGGAGATAACATCGGAAATCAAAACGTACTATGCGCAACATCCTAGCCAAGTTGTTAGATTCAAACATCTGCCGCCTATCCTGATGAAGCAAAGTCTCCGAAGAATATGAGCATGGTCATCACGACCAAAAACCTCAGTAAAATCGAAACAGACTACGCCGAAGGTGAAACCAGTATCTCTAGATCGTAGAAAACAATCGAAGGAAGAGGATTGGTTCTACAAGACTGAGCATTGAGAAATCCATGTTAAGACGCACTCAGAAGGTTATTCTCTATTTAGTGACGCGTCATCCTACCTTTGATGAAAATTCCAAAGATTTCTGAGGCTCCTGGGAGGGTGTTTTTTGGCCGAAAGTTGTCAATTGTCAGGACAGTCGGGCTTGGGGACAGAGAGAATATGTGATTCGTCCGTGACCTGGGATAGGTTTCACTTTCGACGTCGGAAAATTCTCATTTGTGTCAGCCTTTAAAAAGCTGACTGCGACACCATTTGGGTCAGGAATACGTGAATGCCGAAGGCGTCGGATGGCAACGTGACGTCCTCAAGGGTAAACTGTGTAGTTTCGAGAACGGTACTGGTCTAATCCTGGAGGTTCGGAAGTAGAGCGGTTGAATTTTAAAGCTTTTTCGAAAGAAAGACACTGATACAATCAGCGGTTAACCTGGCGTCTGCTATGGGAATTTCTGAGGGCGTCTCGATGGAAGGAGAAACATTCGCGACATTTAACGACTTGCTTTCGGAAATGCTGACCTCTTCATTTAGATATCTTTCTTCGGACAGCCTTTTAGGTTCATCAGAAGTACGATTGATCGAACATAGAACTGAGGGGACGCTATGAAGTTACAATCGATGAGGGATCATACGCATCCTGCTGTGAAAAAAATTAGAGGAAGAAAAATTAATACGTGAAACTGTTTATTTTCTTACAGGGAGCATAATGATAAGTGACCTCAAATGCTTCTAAAGCCTAGCGGTGTAAACAATCACATCGGAACTTAGGAAGAAATCAGCCTCGTCATAGGAATTAAGGTGTCAGTAATTCTGCCGAACAGACTGACTGAAAATCAAATAAGCTATTTTTGGGAAAAAATTCGTCAGCATCAAGTTCGGGTGTGGAAACATCTATGCCGTAGTCCTAGCCCCCAAGCGGGCCTAAAGATGATGCCGACACCGTGACACCGAAAACGGGCACTTTTTGAAAAAAGTGGGGGCCGGACAGCCCAGCTCTTTGGGTAAGTGACGTCACGTAAGTCAGTGCCTTCAGGTTGCGGCTCGACGAAATCGCAGACCAGGTAGAAAGAAGACGTGTGTGTCAGGAACATACGCCCATGAACAGTTTTACAAAGCAAAATACCCGAGCATCTACCCACTCTCCTAGACTTTCCCTCCAAGTCCAAGCTGGTTGTGGTTGTCACTCACACCTTTGAAGATATTCCACGTCGGTGGATGACAGATTTGTTGCCAATAGGTCCCAGACGGGCCACAAAATGGAAGAAGATCCCGTCCTAATGAATGCACCAGCGTTTGCAACTAGACTCACTTATCGGACGGCCGAAATTAGAGGGCTGTCCAGTGCACGCGTGATTGCAATCGCCAGAGGTGGTGGTCGCAAGTCAGCTGGGACGCTTGCAGAACAGGGGTAGTTCCGGGTTCTTAGGCAGTATGTCGCGGTAAGTACTTGCTTAGTGGTGCTGCGAACCGACGAGGTATGCGGACACTGCCCCATGGCAAAGATAATAATGAAAAGCCTATAGAATGATCAGACGATCTTCCTTGAGGTCCTCACAAAGCACCCTCCGAGAGATGCTCCAGTCCACAGAATACTATGAAGACCTGGATTAACTAGATCTGCTCATCTTATTAACTGGCTAACATGAAAACAGGGATGACCTCGTGAGCAGAGTCCGCGGCACGACCTTATGACGTATTGCCAGCAGGAAGCAACGATCAGTACAGTCGCGCGTTCTCAATCCTTCTGAGCATGCATAATGACAGCCAAATCATACTTGACGGTTTTTCTCCTATTCCAAGTAACCGACAGTGGTCTCCAATGGGAGGATGTGGACCGTTGCTCAATGATAGTTTCGGATTTAAGAACTTCTGGGCTGGAACCCAGGTTCTGAAAACTTTGGGTTGAATAGATCCGGCTGAAGACAGCCAACAAGCCAGAAATGATTACCACGATTTTCCCCCTTGTTATTGTCGACCGCCTAAAGACACAGCGAGAGGAGCATATTCCACAACCCGATCGATGAACGCGCCTCCAGAATGGCTAACATTCCCGGTCACAACGAGGGACAACGAGCCTGTAACTCAACGGCAGAGCGTTGGGCTTACTAAAGCCCGAGGAGCAAAATGAACGCGTGTTCGGACCTGGGTCGCGTAAGACTGGCTGACGACGGCTAACACGCCCGAAACAACCGCCCCCGCGTTTTTCGTTTTCGTCGATACCTCCTTGCCTACATGCTCTTTTAATTGCTGTGCGACTACCTGCGAGGGCCTTAGATTGAGCCTAAAGGCACAATGGGACGAACACGTCCTGTAACATGATTGGTAAGCACTCCTCCACCATAAGATGTGAACCGCGCGAATTCGTTGCTCGAGGTGGCTGCGAGCCAAGTCCGGCAAACAAAAACAAAGAGTGAAATTGTGTATTTATAATTAATAACAGAAGCACAGGTGTAGTCCTCACGTCGAGACACCTCCCGCTCTGACTAGCCCTTCCGTTTTTGAGCCGCAGCGGCAGCCGCCTCTGCGTTTGCTCTCAGAACAGCACCGGGACTGGGGTAGGGTCGCTGCTGGAAGAGAGGGCCAGAAGCGGTTACATCGGCACCTGTCTTCGCGCTTGGTCCGCCGCGCGTGTGACCCTCGAGGCCAGTAACCCAGGTACCGCGGGGCACATCCGAGTAGGCGGCGGGATCCATAGGGTCCAGCTCGTCATCGGCTGCGTCCTCGGCTCTTCGACGGCGAGAATCAACTACAAACATCGGCGGAGAGGAGGAAAAAAAGATTTAACTAAAAAGGTAACTCGAAGGTCGAGAAATAAAGTGTAAATGAAAAACAGGCGTCTAAATCGACTATATAGAAGGGGGAGGTTTTAACCGTGGGAAGTCTTATTGTCCATTCCACACTACTCTGAACATTTCAGTAATGATTTTTGATAATTGAGTAACGTTTCCACGCCACGCATACATTGACACATATTAGTATTTACAAGACGGTTATGCTTGGGTACGACCTAAATGTCCGTTACTGCGTTACTAGCACGTTTCAGTAGCGAGTATTGATGATTTCGCAATGTTGCCACACCATGAAATATTATTGACACACTATTATTTAACAGACAGTTACATGCTCGTCGCATTTAGTTCTTTAGCCAACATTCTTTCAGCTTCCTTTGTGTATTGGTGTTTTTTGCGGCATTAATGTAACCAACAGGAAGTCAAAAGGCTTTCGCCTACATTTGCCTTAATAAAACTGAACCAGACGAGGGAGACTGGGACGGCAGTTTCAACAAACTTGGGCCATGGGAGTTCCGAGGAAAAAACCGGCCGAGCATGTTTCTTCGTGAAATAAGACAGGTGAAGTGCCATACCCACACAACTCTCACCGTTACTCCGTGGCCAGCGGTTGCCAGGAAGCAGACCTAGTGTCGGACGCTAAACGCTTCCAGTAGAAAGATGCTAATGTCAAGGACACACCACAGTGTGCCAGAGAGTCCGACGACCGATCCCGAAAAAGGAATGTTTTCTGCATCCTCAGGAGGTCTCTCATTTCCAGATGTCTCTCCCCCATAAAGAGTCAGTAGTCAGTGGCATAGGAAAAGGGTCAAAATAGGGTAAAAGTGGACCCTGACAGCAAATTACATCGTGAACCGGCATTGCGAGCTCCCGGCCTCTGGTTATTCTTTTCCCATCGGCGATTGCTACCGGTATTCGTCGACGCCTGGAATGTAGATGAGGGCGGTGGCATAGAGGGTGGCTCGGGGACGGCGAATCGACCCGAAGGGGGCATCATCTGCATGCCCGGAGGGGGCACATTCATGCCACTGAGAGGTGGCGGAGGCGGTGGCAGGGGAAAGGGTGGGACTGCGGACGCCTCCGTGGGCGGCCAATTGCCCCGACTGTTATGCGCCTCCTCTTCCTCTCGCGTCGCCTCCTTCTCCTGCCTTGAGGCGGTTGGTGAGGGAGAGCGTGAAGAGCTGGACTGGGAGCCCGAACTGCGACGTCGACGTTTGATCGTGCCTGACCGCCACCCATCCTCGCCGCCTTTCTCACGCTCCTCTGCGGCCAGCGCAGCAGCACTGGCATGTCCCGCTGCGGCCAGCGCTGCCTCGCGCTCGCGTAGGGCCTGTTGTTTCAACTTCTCCGCCGACCTGGTCACGATGGAGCGTGGATGGAGGGGTGAGAGCCAGGAGACGTCGTCGGTTGTCGTGTTCCAGTAGTAGAACCTAGATAGTGGACGGAAGCGTGCCGGGGAGATGAGCAGCGGCAGGTTTACAAAGACTCTCTCTTTCGACATCAAAGGGGATGAAGTACGGGGGGGGGGGTGAGGACAGAAAGGATGTTACTATAACGAGTCGGACGAGCATTCGGGTTATCCCTATGTCCTGGCAGTCGTAGCTCAGAGGGTCAGCTGGACTGACGGTCAGATTGCGAGGCCTCCTTGTGAATTTAAGCTAGCCCTGTGCCCTAAGGGTCGCAGCTCAGAGGGACCCAACGGGTGGGATAAACCGGTCAGCTGGGCTGAAAGTGAGGTTAGGATGGCTCCTTGTTAATGTGACTTGACATCCGAGAGCTCTAAGTCTCGTTAGAGCAAGCGGAGCCACAAAAGGCAATGAGCGCAACCACAAATCCAAAGAACGGGTAAGAACCTGGCACTGGTTTACGCTGGGGGGAGTCAAGGGCTGTTCCCAGGCGTACTCCCCCGCATAATAAATTTGGCGTGCTTTGAAAATTTCGCGACATTGCGGTCTGGAAGACTGTAAATTGGCGGAACGACTCAGACCTCTCTCGGATCGAGGACCAACCTACAATGCTTCCTCCCTAATATGAGAAGTAAGAAACCTCCCACCGATGTGGCACCCTAGAGGAGCCCCCATCATGGAGGAACGTGAGCAATGTACTACATCAAATTGCGTTTCCATAATGACGACTGCACAATTCTCACTGAGTAACTTGCACACGGAGTGTGCACAGCGTTGGGCGGAGACCTTAAACCACACAAGAATGGAATTACATCGATCCACTGACTCCTGCGAGCAGACAAAGTCCGAGCGGGTGACAAAAGTCACGAAACAACAACCAATAACCTTGCACCAGATACGACAGCAGAAGTTATAGTCAATTAAGTGGTCTAGGTATACGCATACCTCTGTTGGTATCTCACGGCTCTGAAGAACGCTAACAAATGCATCCGACTTATCTATTGTCCGTTTTACTCGGTCATACCATTGGTACGTGATGGGAGGAAAGAGAGACTGAGGACGACACAATGAGGAGCAGGGGCATGTTTGCCCCATTCGAGGGGCTAGGAGTGGTGGCTTGAGCCGGTTTCCAATAAGATAACGTGGTTTATCTCCGGACTGAGGGTACGGTAGCAATTGATTCTTATGAGATCAAGATGATAAAATGTTTTGAGTGCTTAAGCGACAGGGTACGTGTGTGATATGGGCAGACCTGAGTTCATGCACTGCACGCACAACACACGGGCAGTAACCTAGTCGAAAAACGTCTACTTGAATGAATTCAGTAGCGAGTCTAGCGTGGTAAACCTAGCACGACCACATACCCTATCCTTACCCGCCCACGCCATTTTCAGTGATCCGAGGTTTGTCATACGATCGGAATGCAGTCAGTGAGCGAAGAGAGAGGGCTTAAAGCAGATACCACGAAATTCAATCGTAATGAAGCAAAATTTTCATGTAGGAAGCAACTATCTCGCCCAATCGATGACGACGACGACGGCAAACTTTTGAGATGGCGATGTAAAGGGCTTGGAATGGGTGCGACCACGCCTGATCCAGACTGCCTCCAAGCTGTCGCGGAGATCACCTAGTTGCTTGACGATATGCGGCAGCGTAACTGCAGCGCTTGATCAGCCCTTGTTTCCAGTGGCAAAGACCAATGATCCAGAAACCATACTCTGTCTCGCAGGTCTGTGTCCAGTCCGACTTTGCGTTGACATCTTCTCCGTCTCCGATTAGGCAATCGCGTCAGATCTTGGACAGTAGCATCGAAGTCGTGGCGGACGACGAACAACGTGCACAGACCACCTCGGCTGCCAATCTTGGATGATTTGAAATATCCTTAAGAGGAGTTAAACGCACCTCACTCGACGAATCGGTCTGATACAACGGCACCTGAGAATATCCAGTTTTTCACGTGCGTCTCCCTGTATTCAAAACTCTTCGGGGAATTGGCCAGACAGGTGTCTGGCCCACACAGCCCTTTGTGGCGACGTATTCAGATATACATACTAAGGCCTGCACAAAAATGTGATTAGCGTCCGTCAGGGTGACGATGTTGTCGTTACACAGTCTGTTTGATGGCAATAACGAAGGACAACCATTAATCACGAGAGTTGCCTAGCCCTGATCGGAAACGCAGTTCTAAAATATTCTGCTTTCCATGCGTTTGGATATAAACAGACAGATTGGACATTTTCGATCATGATACTAAACTCTACGGAACATTACGGCTTGGCGCTACCAAAGTGATAACGTCAGCATGATCAAGGCCAGTCAGCCCGCGCCCGCTGGCTTCTAATCCGCAAAGTATTGCACAGTTAAACAGGATGGGCGACAGAATGAGAAGTCGATGCACGCTTAACCGAATATACAGTAGGTGGGCTAACTCATGAAATCTCAACAGAAATTCCGAAATGCGTTTCCGTTTCGAAAGGATTAATCAAGTAGGGATGTAAAACTAGTCAGCCTGCAACATAATTCTATAATTTTTCAGCAACCTCAGGATGCTGACTTTTGAATGAACTTCCTTCCAGCTGCATGCAAACACTACACTCCGGAAAAAAATGGCTACTTAAGTAGCATGCATTTTTCCCATTGATTTTCAATGCCCTTAAAAATTCAACTATATGTCACGGAAAACATGTACAAGAATATTCATTCTTTTACTCATTCGGTAGAAAATTACGTCTTCTTCTAATTTTATACTCGAGGGAGGGACATAATTCGGTTTTAAAAAAGTTGTCCAATTCCCGAATAATTTTTAACCCGCTCTATCGTCACACTTGGGTTCAGGGTTTTCAAACTACAAGCCGTACATTTTCCGCGTACGGAAAACCACACATTTCTCTACGGTAATAGAGACCATATAGGGTTCATAAAATTAAGCAGTGGATTTGATCCATACTGTTAACTTTACAAGCCACATTGGTAAATGCAGAGACATGACGATTTATGAACGGCCATTTCACGTAATGCTCTACTGAATGAACAAAGAATGAATATTGTTATGCATGTTTTCGATGAAATATAACTGAATCTTTAAGGGCATCGAAAATCAATGAAAAAAATGCATGCTACTTAAGTTGCCATTTTTTACGGAGTATGGTTTTTGGATGCAGCCTAAAAGAAGTTCGTTCGAAAGCCGACATCCTGGGGTATTTGAAAGATTATCGAATTATGTTGCAGGCTGACTAGTTTTACAACCCTACTTAATTAATCTTTTCGAAACGGAAACGCATTTCGGAATTTCTGTTGACATTTCATGAGTTAGACCACCTACTGTAAAAGCATGGGGGGAGGGGAGGGTTGTTGCTGTAAGATGGTAGACCATGATCATTGCGAAAACTCTTGACAGAGAGAGACTCATGATGAACGGAGTCGAGCGCTTCAGCAAAATCGACAAAGCAAATGAATGTCGGTGGTTGGTGGCCAAGGAGGAATACGAACATGCATTATTGCGTAAGTATTTGCTAGGACAATCCATGTTCAGCTTGGAACCCAAGTTATTTACGCCTCTTCCTCGGCTCACGCGCACCGAAAGTGCCTGCAAATGAGAATGATAAAGCACCCCGCAGCAATATCGGCGCAATAGTTCTCATATGACACATAGATGAACTGGTCCAGTCATCAAGAACGACATCATCTCAGTACGCCCGCGGGACGGGGCTGGGACGTCTATTCTCGGTGTTGCAGAGATTATTTTTTCCAGGACGGAGGGCAAAAAGACACTTTAGAGGCTAGAGACGGCTAAAATGCTGACCATGCGAGGTGAACTTTGATGAGCTAACCGTCGAGGTTGAGAAGGCCTTCGAAGCGATCGCTTAGGGCTCGACTTTAGCTAATTTTTCAGCGAGAAAGTTGTTGTTGACAGTCATTCAGTGCTGAGGGCCTGCCACTAACGTGACCACTAAGTTGACAGAATTTGCGGGTATCACCGACCTACAAGGTCGGCTACATCGAGGTGGACACTTCGTTCCAATGGTCTTCGTCATGTTCCAGAATCGTGATAGCTGAATCTAACGAGAACTGACGGGTCCTTGTGATAATTAATTCATTCCGGCGCCTCGGACTGAATCGAAGAATTCTCTCAGCGTGCATGAGAGGTGAGTTTTCACGTGTGCGAATGCAAACATGATCAGAACCATAGGCGTTACCCATTTTGCTGCCACGTAAGGATCTGCGACTATGCATCCAGCTTGGAGAACTTGAGCTGACTAGGATGCGGCCATTCTGACGTCATGACAGTCACCAGACCAGCAAGTGCAAAGACGTTCAAGACGATTTATAGACGGTCTTTTTGGTGACAAACGGCCCGTACCAGCCGTCGATGATCAACAGTCATCCACCGTTGCTTCATCGAGACGCATGCCCAGAGAGTCCAATTACAGTTGCCGTCGAAGAGTCACTTAACTCAGTCCTGGCATACCAGTGTCCGGTAATAATCAGAAGATCAGAGTGAAGGAGTCTCTAAACTAACTCTTGGGGCTGCAAATTAAAAGACTGGTGCATTGCGCTGGTCAACAGTTTGGGTTGGCTCGCCGACCAAAATGACGGGGCTGTTAATACAGTGACATTTCAGGAACAGGTACGCCAACCGGTCAGGGGTCGATCCTCAAGCGAGCAGCGCCTGATTCGCCTGTCCTACGCGAACGATCATCACGGCATGTCTACCAGAAGAGTTGCAGGAGCCACGAACATAGGGACGGAAGTGGGAGCTAACTTTCGCGATCTCGATTTCTGAAGGGCCTACCCAAATCCAGGATCCACTTTGTACTGACGAGGACAGTGCGTCATCCAACTTTGGACACCAGGATCGAGGAGTGCTAGCACATTTACACATCAGATACTAAGTGTCAGCTGTCAGTTGAGTGATCCAACACGCGTATTATTCATCAATAATGATAGACCAGGGTGGCTGAGCATGTCACTTCCCGCAGACGCCGTAACGTATCTCGCAATGCTCGAATTGAACATTCTTCGGGAGATTTTCTGAGAATTCTGAACACAGGCAAGTTGTTTCCCTTAGTGTTTTGCCTCAACGATCCACCTGCATGGCAACAATGAAAATCAAAGTCATTTAACGGTAGCTCACGGTCGCCATGTCAGAGTGTCGTCATTGGGTGTTGCAACCCGCGTGCCAGACGCCAGTCCTCTGCATCACTGTCGCTGCTGACCCCTGATTGTTTCGTCATCAGAAACTGCGTATTTTTCAGCCCGTGTTCACTGACGATCGTTCCACCAGGTATCCAGTAGGCAGACCAGGTGAGACCTTACCCAGCTGCCAAGGCAACAAAGCCCTTGGAGCCACAAATGCTTGGCATAACTGCTGTTAATGCCATGCAGAGTACTCGCTTAGTTTCCATGTTTCCGCAGGAAGACAAACATTACCAACGTCAAAATATTCTGAGGCGTTACATCTTCCGGCACCGGATGGTGAAGATGCCAAGGTGTTCGAGGCATCATTACTTTTCACAGTCATTCAGACTACATCAAATGGGTTTCTATGTAACTGGATCATGACGGGTGCCCCCAAAACGGGCCACGTGGTAGATGCGCTGGACCAACACGGGGGTCATATCGGATTGTGGCAGGCGTTACCGAATTTGCGCATCATAACAAATGCCAACATTTCGGGGTGTAGTGGCAGACCCGGTTGACGGCAGAAGTCGCGCATACTGGGACCCCTACCGCGCCCCCATTGTTGTTGATGGTCAAAACCTGGTCATTTGCTGAGTGGACCAGAGGGTGTGGATTGGAGCGCTAAGGTGCGGGCTCGACCGTGCCATCCACCTGCGCCCTCGCCCGACTCCGGTCTTCTTGGCTCTATCTTGACACCGGGTTCAGGTGGGGGAGAGAGAGTGTGGTAGATGTTGTGCAAGAATCACGCACAAGTTGCCGTACCTGCTGCACGTTGCTGTGTAGCACACGGTGGACGTCGTTGGAGTCGACGGTCGAACTTTCGGGTCACGACGATTTTGATTCGAACCCAGAATGGTACACACGGTAAGACTGAATGTGGTTTGAGGAGGAGTGGCAAACTCGAAAGAGAGGTTAAATTTCAGGTGGGAATGTTGACACCTTCAAGGACGGAGAGGGTAGATTACGAACATGGAAAGTTAAATCTAATGGCAGGGGAACTTTCCAGCTGGCAAATAGTGGTACTCAGTACAAGTTGCAATCTAGTAGGATTTCTCGTTTGGTAGGAGAGCATTCCTCTAGCTGTATCTGACTTCAACATGCCAACTTACGTAGGATAAACGGCCTCCTTGGATATGCGGCATGCTGGACCGCCAAGGGGTGCAGAACCCACCGTCAAATTTATACACTGCTGCCCGATCGGGGTACGCAAAACTTTGTTAACATTAATAACCGACGATAACGTGCTTTAGGGAGTGCTCAAGACAGTAAAGCACGCAACGTAAGGTTAGGATCGCCAGTTAAACCGGTAATTAAAAAAAACTGTGGTGTTGAAGGGAATAATTCGTTAGACTACAGCGCTGAAATAAAGAGTTGAGCTTAGAGAGATTGCATATCATTCTAGTCGAACAAACTTTAGAAAATAATACCATAACGTCAGCATTCACTCAAAATGGTCAAAGGTACACCAACTACACTAAAGTTACTTTAATCGAGCATAAAACTTCGCCGTCTTTGTGGCCTAGCACACAGCCTGTCAAATCGACTGAATAGTACCCGAGGCGGACAACAGATTTTGACTCATGGGGCAAGATAATTGGGAGCATCTGCGTTCACCGAGCCGAAATTAATTGGGGAAACCAGGAGTACGTATACACCAAAAAACTGCAATTCGGCGAGCTCCGAAATTCATACCACAGTCAACACGTTTCTCGCCCTCTTAGGAGGGGTCAGCGACGAATACAAGAGATCCGGTGTTTATACTCTGACAGTGTGCACGTGGGTAACGTGGACATTTTACTTGATTATTTGTCTGGGGCTGCCGTACATCAGCTGGAGTTTGTGAACCTGATGCAGCACAAACAGTAATGAGTAATCTCAGTGGTCCTTTTTGGCAATTAACCTCAATTAATTAAATAGGGCAATTTGTTGGCTGATATTGAAAAAGTGCGGCGTGTTGAAGATTAAAAACTTAAAAAGGGAAAGACCCATGATCATACCTCTGTGTGGTTGGATCACCAACCTCCAGCCAATGACTAGGCAAAGGATAGCGACGCAACATGCGATCACGCAGCCTACCGAGGCGCTGATCCGTATGAAAAGTGCGCCTGCCGTAGCGTTCAAAGCAGTATTCAACACAATCATGGTATGGGTTGGCTTGATTGGGACAGTCGGCACACTCGTAAACCAGAATTCCATTCTCAATCACTGGCACAGAGCTAATCGTCTTGAGATCAGCGGAGGGAGTTGTGGACGCAGGCTTGGCAATTCGAGTTTGGGTGGCGGCACCGTCTTCATCGTAATTCTCGGCAAACACTTCTTCTTCTGGAGGGGGAGAAGGAACGCCACCGCTTAGCAAGAATCTCAACTGAAATGTTGGGGGAAAATGACTAACCAACTATTAGGGTGTTGGTTATGGAGAAAAATCCCGAAAAGTGGGTATAAAAAATCAACTCTACTTTAAGGCGTATTGCAATCTTGCAGAGGGCATCGCGGTGGAAGTAAAGAAGCCCTGAACAACATCAACAATGTTCACTACGCTGCGCGCCCCGATATTGGCCTCCGTTTGGGCGCACATGTTGCAAACAAGAGAGCTGACCAGATAAGGCTTGTTCGGCGCTGTAACACATACGTATCAGTCGGCTCAGGACAGTAGTGCTACTGCTGAGGGTTGACACATGTGCGTATAACGCACTTATTCGGTTACGTGATGCTTCATCCATAGATCTACCATCTACCATGGTGTGAGCAGTGACCAGAAAAGTATGAATGAACAATTGCAGGCTTCAAAGAACGATAGTGATTAGAGAGGAGAGCGTCCCTCAAAATATGAAAGTCGGACTTTAGTGACACAAATATAACGGGCAAAAGAACGTAAGTTCGATCGCTCAGAAAAGGATGAGTTTAAGGTAGTCAAGACAGAAATTTTAAAATATGCCTTTCTGTATTTTCTTTAAGTTATCGTAAATTTAGTTCTCTCATCCCCATAAAGGGAGAAGGCACATACAATGTGCGATTAACCAATCTTAATAGCAAATCGGAGATTGGAGGTGTATTTTAAATTCTCATGAATTTTATATGACTAGGGACTAAAAAGAGATACCTTCGTTTTGATCGCCTTCAATCAATCCCCGTTTTTTAAGTCGAGCTGCAAGCGCGGGAGGTAACGGCATCTTCCCGCTGTGGCAAATGGTAGACTTTTATGCGCCTGACTGCCGGGATAGATTTCAAGATAGGAAGACGGCAGCAGACCTGGCAAAAAGTATTGAAAGTGTATGCGAACAACGTTTGGCGCAGGATAAGCAACGCGAACACTACATAGACGAGAAGCACAGCCGGAAACCCAATGTATTGTACGCACTCGAGGGGCAAAGGTCACAGCAATATTGGGATATTCGATTAAAATCGTGGAATCCTGAGTTTTTTAGTATGCATCTGCAAAAGTCGAAGCCTTGGCACAGGAAAAGGGTTTTCTCTGGAGATGCAGAAGTTGTCAGATGGAGCCGGGGTGACACTTTGGGAAAAATGTCTACAACGGTTTGCCAAATATATATCAAAGGACGATCACGGACAACGGGATATAACAGAGATGACCATTCCGACCACGAGATATAGGTAATTCAACACAAAAAAATTTTTGAAGAGCATGTGAATGACTGTAGTCATAAACGGGTAAGTGTACCTGCTCACCAATGCATACTGAAGAATCGAACAGAACTACACGATATATAGGACAGAGGCCAGTCTAAAAGGTGAAAAACGGATCTTTTTTATGAATATTTTTTGCAAACATCAGCTGCGCATGTCAATAATTATAGTGAGCTTGGCAGACAAGCAGATTAAGAGTGTTCCTAATTTTGTCATTGCCTTCCATACTGAGGTAGATACAGCGCGTATACATCTGTCACGAGGTATTTTCTGCGAGCCTTGAGTAATGTATCATAGTCGGCAAAAGCGCAGTTATAGTATCAGTTGAAATGAAGACTGCCTTACGTTTCATGTTTATCCTCAATGTTGACGAGTCGGAGACAATGGATATCCGAATTTCCACTCTCGTAGGTGGTTTATGGTCTTTGGGGTACGATTTAACCATGAAGACCGATTTAAGACTGTGAAGGAGCGACATGGCATGAACAACACCTACACCTTCAAAGAATAAAGACGATATTTGTAATTGTAAACGGTTCTCTTAAACGTTCCTTGACCATCAGTTTTCCTACAAATTTGATTAGTAAACCACTGAGTGATTTTGAAATTTGCCTAATGACATCGACAGTTTGAGCATTTGTTTGCATTCAAAGAATGAAAGTTTGCAGTATCTCTAAATGATAATGTGAATCAAAACTGAAAAACACACGGCCATCGGAAACTTACGATAACCTGCAGTCCAGTAACATTTAATTTGCGGAGCACGGGCGTTTTTGTTGGTGTGCAAGAGACTAGACGTGATTTTCAAAACGTTCGGGTAAGGAACGTCCATTCACCCAAAAGATGGTGGTCAGATCCCCTCCTGCTGTGCACATAAAAAGTTTTTCGACGTTAAACAATAACACTTCGAGTATGAAAATGCTGTCGAATATTAAAAACTCCTTAGTCACTTCCTAAAAATCGAAACCAGTCTGAACATTTAAAGTCATTTGTGTGCTCTGAATTCCATCTTCCGAATGAAGCTACCATCTTGATACCAGGGAGAAGGAAAGATAATTTGATGATCAAAACGAAGAGCACGACTGTAAGGCCAGTAAAAGCAGAAAGGTCAGTTTCGGGAAGCAGTGGAGGATAAGATAAGTTGCCTTAATCTCAACCTTATCCGCGGTTTTATCTGATGGTGGGTTCTTGCAGGAATGCAAAAATTCATACGAATGTAATTCTTCTTCTTCTTCTTCTTCTTCTTCTTCTTCTTCTTCTTCTAAGAATCACATCTTTTTCTTAACTGATGCAGGGAGACACAACGAACAGCACGGTTTAGTAACTGGTAGGGTAAATTCCTTTAGTCCTTCGACAACTTCGGTGACGTTTGAACCAGAACCTGCTAAAGGTCACGGCAGCAGACGTCCTCTGGGTGAATTTCTTGCTTGACGCACACAAATACAGCTAAAAAACCCACATAATTAGGAGTGCATGTGGTGTGACGATTGAAGCGTATCGGCAAATTTATAATCCATCACTCTCACTCATCGACAATCTTTCTCGCAATTAGGGGGCCTGCTTTGTGCATCCGGACCGTTTGCTCCGTGGGCAGCCCAGAACTGGACGATGTAGCCCACTTCCCTCAGAAACAAACAGCCTTTCCCTTCAAACTTTTTGTTTTAAATGCCAGATCCTTGCTTAATAAGACGCCTTTGCTTCAGACTCAGGTGTTCGTCCATTGTCCTGATATTGTTTTAGTAACTGAGACGTGGGCATCAGCCTCAGTAGCTGACTCCGAACTCTCGCTTCTAGGCTATAATTGCATTCGAAATGATCGCCAAGCTAGCCGTGGTGGGGGCAGCTGCGTCTACGTTAAGCAAACACTTACATTTTTGACGTTGGAACTCCCGCACTTTTCAGCAGTAGAAGGCAGCTGCTGGCTCCAAGTTGCACTAAAAAATAAGTTCTCCTTACTCGTTGGCTGTGTCTATCGTCCTCCCAACGCCAATGACAAGTTTGATAGTTTACTCTCACAGGCATTTCATGCTGCGGCCGACTTAAGTTTTAAGTATCAACTGATTGCGGGTGACTTTAATCTCCCTGAAGTCCGCTGGTCTCCGCCTTCAGGCCCCAGAAGGTTCGATGACTTTCTTGAGGCTGTGGATGTCGGGATGTGGACTCAGGTTGTCGATTTTCCCACCCGAGGCTCAAGTATACTTGACTTAATTTTCTGTAGAGGCTGCTTGCCATCGTCAGTGTCATCCCTAGGCCCACTCGGGGGCTCAGACCATGACATAGTTGTTTCAACGTTGGAATTCGAGGCTGACGAAATGTCGTCCCAAAAGTATAACTTTTTCCGCAATTTCCGATCAACTCGCTCGACCGAATTATTAACACACCTTAATTCCTACGACTGGACTGATTTCTTCCTTAGTCCGGATGTAAATGTTTGCACTGCAAATCTGTACGAAATTTTGAATCCGCTTATTTCTCGTTTTGTCCCCCGTAAGAAAATTATTAATGTTGGGGATGAGGTTTTCCTACCCTCACCCTTTCGTCGCAGATTGCGCAGGCTTTATCGCCGTTTCCATCTTCAGAACGATGTTTCTGTCCTGCCCCTGATTGGTGATATTTTTGATCGAGCTAAGAGACTCTCTGAAGAAAAAACAGCTAGCCGAAGAGGTCCAGTTTACCGAAAACCATTCGTTAAGTGTCTCGAAACTTTTCTCTAGAAAAATACGAACTCAGAGAAAGACGCAGTATCCCATCCTTCGAGACGATCTCGGAAATCCCATAGTTGATGCCCAGTTAACCGCGGATAGCTTCAATGATTTCCTGTCAAATGCGTTTATTGATGACTCGACCACTCCGCTTCCGACCATCCAGTCATTGACCCGGGCCGTTCTAGAAACTATAACTTTCACTCTGTGGGATGTGACTGTTGCAATTCGGCGGTTTCGTCAATCTTATAGTCCAGGACCTGATGGTGTCCCAGTAAGCATTTTAAAAGCCGATGCAAATAAGATCTTCCCATTCCTCTTATGCAAGATATTAAATCTTGCTCTTGAAAGTGAAACTTATCCTACCTTGTGGAAGGAATCACACATTTTGCCAATTCCTAAGCACGGCAAACCTACATCATTTGATGACTTTCGGCCAATAAACACCCTCCCCGCAGTTTCGAAGATCTTAGAGACGTTGATCAAGGATAAGACGATGTGTCACTTAACAGCAAATAACTTACTGAGTGTTGCTCAGCATGGATTCCTCAAAGCTCGATCTTGTGACACCTGTCAACTCTCTTTCTTTGACTATGTTCTCCAATCTAGGGACCATGGTTTCGCACTTTACATAGTATATTTCGACTTCACTGAGGCTTTTGACCGTGTTGACCATGCTCTTCTCCTCTGGAAATTGTCCTCTTTCGGAATAGGTGGCAAACTTTTGAATTTTATATCCTCTTATTTGGGCACTCGCACACAACGAGTTAGGATTTCCAATACCATCTCCAACCCCACACGTGTGAGGAGTGGAGTCATTCAGGGTAGTGCACTCGGCCCGCTTTTATTTTGCCTTTTCGTTAATCATGTACCCGATTTATTTCAGAATGGTAAGCCGTTCATGTATGCCGATGATCTTAAAGTTGCATATCGATATAAGCCGGCAGATCGTGACATCGTGCTTGAGCTCCTAAAGATCGATCTACAGGCTTTCGCCCAGTGGTGCCGCACATGGCGCCTTGCTCTTTCTTGGCATAAGTGCTCAGTCATGGTGGTTGGCGACGACCGCCAACCTCAATTAAGTATTGAAGGTCACGCAATAAATGTGCCTGGGGTTATAAAGGATGTGGGCGTATCATACTCCAAGAGTCTCAATCTCTCGGAGCACTGTGCCTTGATAGTCTCCAAAGCACGCAGAACGACCTGGTTTATCCTCCGAAATTTTAAAACTAGGGACATTAGAATGCGCCTTTTCAACATGTACGTTAGACCTGGTCTGGAATACTGTTCGTTTTCATTTAGCCTCATGCGTGCTACTGAGCGGAAGAAAATTGAATCCGTTCAACACTTTTTTACTAAGAGAATTTTAACCCCAGCACACCGACATTTGTCTTACCAAGAACGTTGCCGGCTTACAGGCCTTGATCCTTTATGGTTCCGTAGATTACAAAAGGGACTATTTTTTGCTATTTAAACTCTTATATAATCACACATTTAACCCACTCACCTCTTTAAGACATCATATCCACCCACGACTTAACAGTCACCGTGAGGTCTTCTTATTTCTGCCTCTGGCACGTACTGTTAAATATCGTCGGTTCTTTTCTGTAAATGCAATTGCTATTTGGAATAAGCTACCCATGATTGTGAAAACGCTGCAAAATTATCCTCTGTTTAAGAGAACTATTACTCGATTTTTGCATTCAGAAAAGCTCCCACAAATTTTGGGTTCTGAATCTACTGATCGACTGTACCGTAGCGATGGCGTTTGTGGTCTCTGAACACTATGGACGGTCTCACCAGCTGTTCCTCAACGCCTCTAC